TCTCAAGACCTGAGTGACAGGCTGAAGTTTTGACTCCAGGCGGGATCAAACCGCACCTAACTCTTTTCTGGCGACTGAGCTATCCGTTACGCCACAGGGCCAGTCAGGGCCGCTCTTATTCCTTCAACTCAGTACCTTTGTGCAGCACTGTTCGGCTAACTGTCGGAGCTCGATCTTATAAATAGCAACACAATTGCAATAAACACAACAACCTTACAAGACTATTGAGTTTTTTGGCGCTGTTTGTCGACGGGGGGGGGGCATTTTGTACTATCATTGCTTCCCTAGTTCCGGTTTACAAATCTCACTCTGGTAAAACTTGTGAACTGAAGCTGGAGCAAGATCGTCTAGCCACCATCCTAAAACGTGTCAACTCGAGAAAAGGCTACCTAGATGGGTCGACACATCTATGGAAAGCAAAATGCCCCCCGTCGACAAACTGCGCCGAGTTTTTTTATCGGGCTGGAGTTTCGCCTTCTATGCCATACAATCTGGCTCTTCTCGTGCTTCGTATTGACCCAGAAGCGTTGCATTTAGGTCTAACTAGGCGCGCAAATTCTGTAGTCCTTTCAACACACACGCTACTGGCGCGTCCGGAAGGTACGAGAAGTCCCCGTCACTTTGAAGACAAGTGGAGTCGAATCGTGGGGCAAGCTTCTAAATCAAGTAAGAGAAAAGAGGGGTATCGGTTGTACAAACCTTCACTGAATCCGCCGCCGCCGCCGCCGTCGTCAGGGTCTTCATCGTCTTCTAGCCATTTGAAGAAGAATTTTATGAAAAATTGCATAAAAGTGAAGCCGAATGAAGGTCCGTACATGATTGCCGGTATCAGACCATAAGGGAATAGTAACCACATGTCGACAAATGTGAACACGGAACGCTGAAAAATCTGGCCAATGAAATGACAGCGCACTTTAAAGCACAGTTCATGAAGTTGTTATGGGTGGAGTCAGGCCTGGCATTTCACCTTCGTCATTCGCTTTCTCCGCACAGGCTGAGCAAAGGTAAGCTCGCCAAAGAAAAGGGCCCTTTGTTAGGCCTGACTCCTCCCATCAGAGCAAAGTGCACTGTCTCCCTAAGTGGCTATTAGAGGCCAAAAGAGGTGAGAAGTTAAAGATTACAACTGAGCAGTAGCTAATGAGTAAAGATCTGAAGAAAAGAAAGACAAGGACTAAGAAATGGCGAGGAATGATTGGAAGAAGAACGCCAGATGAGGTTAGAGAGAGGGGAATTTCCAGTAGTGGTTCATACAACAAACCTGGTTTAGAGAACAGTGAACAGAAAGAGTGAGCGAGAAGAAAAATAAGAGTTTTGACACCATTTTTGGCACTATTTTTTGACACCAAATCTGAAGTCTTACCGACTTTTTTCTGGCAGTGCAAACTGGCTAAATTTGTTACCCTAAGGGATGTTTGACCTGCCAGAGCAAATGAATACCACCTTCGCGTCGACAACGAATGGTGGTGCCCGCCCATCAGGAGCCGAATTTTTTCTTAACAAAAGCGTGTCCCAGTGTAAATCTGAAACTTTGAAACACAGTGTCCACAGTTCCGCTTGGCCCGACCTCCTTTCGCCTACGCCACAGGCACATGGCGCTAAAATGTAGCTAAATTCCCTAGGCGGCTTGTCGCGCAGGCGCTCAGAAAGTTCCGTGCCAAGCGAATGTGATATCGTATTCAGGAGATCAAACAACCCAGGAAACAACATTTCGGCCAGATCTGTTCATAGACAAAAGTCGAAAAACTTGCTCAGTTTCGTTGGTTGGGGCAGTAAAGAGTAAACAGTGCCTTTTATTCTGATGTCGTCGAAGGAAAAGTCGACGTCGTGATCGACGCTCTGCAATTCGTCATTGGGTTCACAGCTTGTTCTCTATCGCCTCAGGGAAGAAAGGCGTGCCAGTGGGAGATTCCCAAAGTAAGCCTGACTCCTCCCACTCGATTATAATCAACTGTACTTTTGACCTAGTCCACGCGGTACGGTATGCTCACCTTGTGGATGTTCTTGGAAAATATAGTGAAGCAGCAAAACAGTCCAAATAGACAAAATATGAAGTAGATAAAGGTCACAATACAAAATAATACATATGTGAGAATGTTCAGGAATTGGATCGGTGAGTAGAACCATGTGACTTCCCTAATCCACGTGAAATAGACGTTTTATCTATTTATCATAGCGTCTACAATTTGGATGACATGGTGGATGAGCTGATAAGAAGTGATTCTCATTGTCTGCTCGAGTTAATTGAGAGGAGTAAGCGCCGTCAAGGACCCAATCTCGAGACGGTTCCCTCTGGGCCAGTCCCGCTCTTATACCTTCCGGACAGTAATCATCACACAATTCTACGCTATTTTATTATTTAATGGAATATTCCAGCTGAAAGTTGTTGTTGAATGGCGAGCAAGCAACGCAACAGTCAGATGTGAAAACGGCCGGTGTAGCGCTAACATGACTAGTAAAGTTGCGCGCACTTCCTAAGCTTTCTAAGCCCCTCATCAGGTAGCGTTCATACACTGCGGCAGCGTCCACCAGTCACGTTCTGAGGTACGCAGACGTCCAGCAACTTAAAAAAGTCATAGATGTCGATCTAGCGTTGCGCAGGTGTCTGGGCAGCGTCTACCAGCGTCTACTAGCGTGCGACAGCGTCTAAAAGCGTACATCAGCGTCTCGAAAAGCCAGTCCGCTACCCTCCTATCTACTCATACTCTACCAGCTGTTTGCTACCTTGCCCCCGCCTCCTATCGAGCCATATCTTCTCCCACTCCCAGACGCTGGTGAATGCATCGCTTTGATCGATATCTACACTTCCCTAGCTCTCGAGACAATGGTACACGCTGGTGGACGCTGGTAGGCGCTAGATCGATCTATTGGTGTACGCTGCATAAAGTATGAACGCAGCCTTTTTAGCGTACGATATGTATACGCTCAGGAATCTGTAAAAAAGGAAAAGGTTTGAAACCATGACATTACTCGCTGTGCTGATGCAAAGGGTCAGTGCCGCTCGACGCTTTGCTGTTTGTGACTGCAAGCTTCTGATTTTGTACATATCAAAACGAACCTTGGCGAAAAAGGAAAACAATACTTGAGTGTTAAGAAACGGGATAAGCAGGAAAAAGAATACCATGTTGAAAACCCAGTTGTCACGTAAACGAGGCGCGCAAGTGAGAACCATCGCCTCGACGTAGACGAATAACATCCCTGCAACTTTTTTCTTATAATATTACAGTAATACACTCTTGTTCGCAGCGGATGATGGGGCGTGTAAACGGATAACTTCAGCTTGACGACAGTTCTAATTCTTTCTCGTGCTTTTTTTTGCCAGCAAAGCCACGCGTACTGTTATTGCGATGTAAGTTACGCCACGTTCGTATTTGTCATTTTGCACCAGCTTTTATCCCGCTACCAAACAGCCCGCTTGAACTAGCACCAGCCCCTTTGACACCTTCTATCAACACAAACAAGGCTGTAACTGGTGTTTCATCGTCGTAGTTGATGATGTGAAGGTAATCCTATAAGTGAAAGATTAGCCACAAGCTCTATTAAAGTATAGTAAACTCGCTAAGCGGAGTGCACAATACGGTCTTGATGGCGTAATGGTTCGTGCTTCACCCCGGTAAAGTCCCAGTTCTAGTCCAAGTTAGGACACTACGTTTGTACGACTAACATATGTGAAAATCCAGCAATTTTTTAAGGCGCTGTGTGCTTTCGGAGGGTTGATTCTCTAGCTAGGGTAAAGCATCATTGTGCGAAACCCTTCAGGAAGCCCACAGTTGTTTGCAGGGGAGGGTTCGCTCGGAATAGAATGTTGGAGGAGGCCGTACCGAAACTAAGACACATCCTGCCGTTGAGGAAACTACTTCCGAAGAACCCCTCATAAACGTTCCTGCTCTGATTCGACTTTCCTTCCCCACCTATCCTACCTACCGTCTTTCTCAACTTTCCCAGCTTCCTTCCACATCTTCGGAGTTTTTTTTCAGTTCTCCACTTATTTCTCCTTCAAAGACTGTCGTCGAGGGAAGGGGCGGCGTATAGCGCACTTGCAACGTGCCCTGACTGAAACTACCAACATGATGTGGCCGAGCCTTGTTGGAGAGTGCTCTCTCCAGACACACATAGCACTAGTGTTTGTGAATTCCTGACAGAACTACCTAAACCTAGCGTTGCTTCTTCTGAGCATTCAAAGGCGAACCCGGATCAGTAATGAAATGTAAACAACTGACCAAACGGGAATATGGATCGCGTGAAACACTCCACATCTTTATAGCTTTCCCTCCAGTCCTCGGAAATAATATAATTTGGCCATGGAGCTTTCTCAGCGAACGCTCCGTACGACACCTGAATAACACGTCATTTGATTACAAACTCGTATAACCAAAGATTCTGAAAAAGAATTCTTAAAATCATTTGTATGTATTCCAATCTACTCTCGAGAAAACCTAGAATTATCGTGCAGACTGTCTTGCAGGATGCTCTCCTGGAATGCGCAAGGCACTTAACTTCCATTCAAATTAGTTCTATTAAGAAAAGTAATAGGCTCATGCAGTATAATGCTGAATCGCTCCTAGTGACGAGCCGATGAGCTTTAGTTGGACACGGTGTACGGTTGGGTTGCTCTAGCCTTCACTTTGGAGGGGCAGACCACGCTGATCACATGGGCGGCGTCAGGCATAGCATCGTATAGCATTTCTGTGAGTGGCCTCCACTTCACTGTTAGATAGACGAGCACCGGCCCAGTTTTGATCGTGGGGCACTCTGCTGGTTCAATGCTTCGCCCCCAATAAAATAACAGCTCTCAACACAAGAAGCGCAGATGGATAACAGTCTCCGCCCATCTGGTCTGCTTGGACCCTGCACGTAAGGCCCACATTGAAACACTAAATCACTCACCAGGTGTAATATACTCCACCATGAACAATTGATTACATGCCATCTGATTGCAGTTCTGCGCATTCTTCTGCCGAAAAGGGCCATGTACAACAAAAGAATGCAGGCACCACCTGATACACCTATCAGCACACCATATGCGGTCTTGTCAGGATCAACGGGCTCTTCTACTTCTTCTTCTTCTCCTAAACAATCTAGGATCATCAAAGGTCAAGAGAGTGCTAAGCTCCAAATGGAAAGCCCATGCTTTTAACCAGGACTCTAATATGCACTTTAGTTGTTTTGGCACCTTCCGAGTCATTATGTCAGTTTTCTTCGTGGAAATTTCTCTCACTCCTTCTGTGAAAACTGCTCCTTAGCCTCTCTACCTATTTGATTCACGAAGAGTGAGGGTAGCCTGTGAGAACCATGCATTCTTGCTTGTTGGGGATGCTGGAACGTGTCAGGGGGAGGGGTGTTTGGCGCGGCGTCAGTCCGCTCTTCACCAGTTCCTGAAGCGGACCAACCACACCAAAGAAGGGAAATGTGCCGGAGCCACCCCTGCGACGAACAGGTCTATAAATTTGGAAGAAAAGGAAAGCCGCCAAAAAGCCTCCAGCTTCTTCGTATAGTGCCTCTGAGGACTGGAGGACGGGATATCTAATCTAATAGCTGCAAAACCGTTCTCAAATTCCTAGTAGTTGTTTGGAGAAGTCAATACTGTGAGTTTTCTTACTAATGTTGCTTTTGTTAGCACTAATATTATTTATGTAGTAGAATCATTACTATCAGTTACCTGAAGCAAACTGGAGTGCCGCAGATGAGTCCAAAGACATGTTCAAATGAATTGTTTTCGCTCGGATTCACTTGAATCTCGAAAGAGCAAAGAACGCAAGAATTAGAAAGGAAGCCAGCGTTATAGCTGTTGCTAGGCGAACTTCGGCCTAATTTGTCCCCGAAGCAGTCAGTAATTGACTCTTCAGAACTGATTAATAGGCAACCGTATCGTTTGAGTCTCTAGCAAAAGTCTAATAGTCTATAAGTGAAGCTCTTAGGACACTGAAAGGGAAGCGCTCTTCAATAAAATTTACTGTCTCGGTGCTGAACACCAGACGCTTCTTATAGCCCTTCTCCTGATGTATTTGCACTAGGGAATAAAGCCAAGTACACGCGTTAGTGCACCCGTCAGAGCCGGGCAGGTTGTACACTGGGGAATCGCCAGCGGAGGTCTGTATTTGGTCGATGGAGGGAAGAGGGCTTTTAGCCTGAGAAAGATCTTTCTGGTCACTGATTC